AATTCTTTCATAACTTGGAAATTGGCATCCTCGGAGACCCAGGGGCTGAGTGGATTTCAAGTTAGGGCATGAAGAGCCCCTGGGGACATTGTCTTACAAGACTAGTTCCAAACGGTCGCAGTCGTTCTGCCATCTGATTGGTGCCAGAAAATCTTTGTGTTTTTCTGCCCAATCAGAGTGAAGTGTGCTTTAGAGTCCTTTCGTGTGTTTTAACACGGACATATACTTGTAGCCCAGTTGATCGCTATGTTTGTTTGGACCGTGCGACAGAGATGTGCTTGAGGTGAAAAGTTTCAGTCTCGGCACACAACCTAAGAGAAATCGATCAGATTGTCCGCGAAAATCTTACCGGAAATTATACTGAATACTTTCGTAGGTATCACTAGAGAACGTGTTTTGAAGTTTGCGAGGTTTGTATACCAAACGATGGTTGCCACCTTGTGTTTAGTTATTATTGCCCTTGCCGTTCCTTATTGTCTGCCTGTCTTTTTATTTCTTTGTTTGCCTGTTCACAGAGCCGAAAGCGTGGACGAGGTCTCTGAGCGACAGGTGCGTTTAGGAGCCATCCGTAGCCTGTTTCTTCAACTTTATTTCAAGGCTGTCGGCCACACGACGAAGTACGAAGCTAGCAATTCTTTCTCGAGTATTCTCGATCAAGTAACCGAGAAATCACGCGGAGGATGGGGTACCGTCGTTTAGGCTAATCAATTCTAATTCGATTCAAAATTTGTTTGAACACCCTGTAACCGAAAAATTGCAATTGTTCAGGTACCCAAACCGAGTTTGCTCAGTTCATGGTCATCTTTCACTCCCCTATGCGCGCTTTACTCTAAATGCCAAATTTCAAATCTCAATCCGATCTGAAAACATCGGACAAGAGAAAGCACCTAGTGGAATGTCCTTTCCGAAATTCTAATTTCTTTATTCCCATCTTAAATCCTGACTTGCAGTTGTGTTGCGGATCCTCTTGTTATGTTAAATATCCTCTGAATCATATCTCTCTATTCAAAGAATAGAAAATTTGGAAAATTATTTTCAACCTCGTTCCACTCTCCTCCTCCGTCGAGGGAAGAAAGGGCGAGAATACTGGGAACGAGTTTGGTTTTATCAAACCAAGTCCGTCGTAGTCTTTGCTCGCTGAACCCAGTTTCTTTTCACCTAATTTTAGAGAAAATACTGGACGACGTTCTTCAAAACAAGTGAAATCACAGAACTAAACTGAATTTTACGTAGCTGTTAGATGCAGTGAAAACAGATGAACACAAACATTTTAGACTAGACCCACTACAATTTCGACAACGATTAACTCTGAACAATTCTCATATTAAAAAAGATCAGCGTTTAGTCCCTTTCATAAACGAACTGAACAGCCTCTTTTTCTGCAAGGGCTGTGTGAGCAATCTTCTGAGCGAGCGATTGGTAACTAGTGCAAAGCGCAAGGGACCTTGGAAGGAATCCATAGTTTTGTAAGTAGAGAGAGGTCTGGGCAGGAGGCTGCTGTAAGACCAGGCAAATCTTATGAAAAGGAAGAAAATTACGAAAACAAAATTAGTATCTAATTGTTGTTAGTAACGAATATTTGTTATTCAGAAGAGCATAGGAAGTTTTCTATCGCGAACCAGAGGAGCGGAGGTATCAGTGAAAAAATGAAATCTTTAAAAAAAATGCGTTACTTGTAATGGTAAATTGTTAACAGTCCTCCCAGAAAAAAAAAACAATTGTCGTTAATTACATTGAAGAACTCATGACCCCTGATAATACACACATCCTAATATATTCACATTTAAGATACAGTTTGAAAGTTGAAGTTCTTGATTATCCATAAGAGCATTTTTTTAAGTTNTTGAAGTCTGTGTGATTTCTAATGTTCGCTTCATAAGCAATTTTGCTGCTGACAATATTTACCTCAGCAAACCTTCCCTCTGAACGTGTTTAAAGAGCGCTCAAAGCGTTATGTTTTTGTTGCTGAGTCATCCTCGGAGACCCAGGGGCTGTGGGTCGATTTCAAGTTAGGGCATGAACAGGCTCTTCATGACGTAACTTAAGATCGACCCACAGCCCCTGGGTGTCCATGGATGTTGCTCAGTCAGAGTTCGATTGAAACGAAACGGGAGTAAAGCAAATGAAAGAAATGGAAGAGAATATGGTGGAACTTTGGGCGGGGTGGACGCGGTTCCAAATGATCGCAACAATTCTTTGGATGAATCCCAATTATCTAATCAGAAAGGGGAGCGATGAATAAAAACGAAAGAAAAAAACAAAAAAAAGTGGGCGATTGGGGACAACAAACGAACATGAATTTGTCTGGATAAGAAGTGTTGGGCAAACGCCCTACTGCACGGGGCGGGCGTTTGAAAATGCTGCTTAGCTCGGGGCTGAGGAAGGGGCTGGAATTTAGCCGTGTTTCAACTCCAGGTCATCGGGAGGGTCGGGGCCCCGGTTTCATATTGACTCATGTGAGAAGCACGTGATTCAAGTAGGCCGTGAAGAGTGTGTGCCTTCGCTATTAAGTTCCTGAATCGAGTTATTCATATTGCGAATTGAGATAGCAGCCTGCCGTGGTTCTTCGCCGGAACTTAAGAATTGCTGCCTCTGCTGAACGGTTTCGGAATATTTTTTAACGGTAAGCTTGATATTCTTGTGATCACTGATAGGACGATGCAAAGCAATTTAATTCTCAAAGCGGAAAAAAAAACACAAAAACAACATTCCAGAACTCCAAGACTGAGGCGAGTTTCTAGATGAAAAAGCTGGTCATTGTTCCCAGAATTAACAGGGTAAGATTACAGACTTGCTAACAGCCGTGATTTTCACCGTGAGGTCTGTTTGTATTCACCTTGTGAAGTCTCTAAGGAACAACATGTGCCGAAGAATACCCAAAACGCTGAGTCAGCAAACTTCAACTTATTTGAATACAGTTAATTGATTTAAAAGAAAACAAAGCGACAACATAGCAAAACATTCGATTACCACCTGTAGTGATACGCTTCGGTTACAGAAACGGGTTGGGTTTTAATATTTGTGAAACTTACCAAAACGCTTCGGCGTACTAGAATCTTCTGTCTCTTTAAGCACCGGAATATACTCGATAATCTTGTCGCATTGTCATTTCCGTATTACCCTACCTGCGGTTTGTTATATGGCGTTCCATCACCGCCAAAATTCAAACTTTATTAGCTCTCTATCCACGCATACCATCATTCACTGGCAACATTCAAATATTCAATTGAAACATTCAACTCTCCACTACAACATTCATGTCAGGCGTTAAAAATACACTCACAACATTTAAACATATACTCCAAACAATCAATCAATCAAGTGAAACATTCAAAGCAGGCATGCAAATTCCACTTGCAACATTTGGACATGCAAACATTCGATTATTCAATTTGAACATTCAATTTGAACATTCAATACGAACATTCAATACGAACATTCAATTCGAACATTCGATTCAAACATTCGATTTTTCAATTCAAACATTCAATCCAAACATTCAATTCGAACGATCAATCCAAACATTCAATTCGAACGATCAATCCAAACATTCAATTCGAACGATCAATCCAAACTATATGTTGATACAGGAAACGATGGTGGAAACAGTAGATTACCTCTGGGAATATAGTCTCCTTCGCAGCCGTTTTTTTTGGATGTCACGCAACGCTCCCCCAAAGGAACGGCTGGTGACAACCGAACTACATTCCTTTCTCCGAATTGGCCAATCACAGCTCGAGTTCCATTTTGGGGGAGCGTTGCGTGACATCCAAAAAAACGGCTGCGAGAGAGACTACTGGGAATAAGGCTTTGTTTTAAATTGGTAGGAGGTTCAAGAACGGATGCAAGCGCGAGGCGAGCGCGAAGCGCTAGTCACGCACGAGGGGAGTAGCCTAAAACAAAAAAAAAGAATGGGAGGGTGGGTGAGGACTCCTCTCAACGCGAGCATAAAGATAAATACGCTTGTTTTGCTAGCCTGTGTACAGCCGCCCCATCCCCTCTAAGAAATTGGGAAGAAAATTTCGAGCTGATAATCTCTCGAATCGTAGAGTTCACAACACAAAGATTCGTCAGAACAGCCCTTCGTTTCTTTAAAGTCGACAGGCAATTTCTGCAAATGTAAGCGGTATCTATAGACACTTTATACTCCAGCGACAGCAACTCCTCCTGGACGTTAAAACTCGAGCTCTACCGTCCGTCAACGAGATTTTTATCAGAATTCTGAACGATGTTTTTCTCACAAAGAACACACAAACTCATCGCTAATTCGCACACTTGTTATTGTGAGAGCAATGTGTACTTTGAGAGAAGGCTTCACATCTCAGAAGTCGATTCCCCGCGAAATTGATAGCCAATCGAAACCCGTGGTTCACATGATGTACTGATCTACGAGTAACAGCCAATGAGATCATTTTCCGCACATTCCGGGAAAAATCACGAGGTTCCATACACGATTAGCAGCGGTAAATCACAGACGCCCCATTCCCGATTTTTTTGAGGGGATGGGGCGGCTATACACAGGCTATTGTTTTGCAAGCTTAATATCTGTGCTTACAAAACTACTATGACAAACTCTGAATATAAATTACTCTCCTAAAAGTAGTGCAGAAGCATTTTGAAATACTTGGAAAGAAATTGAAGAATAAAAAAATCAGTTGACGTACCGATCTTCTAGTTTCAACTGGTAATCACTGAGTAATTCTCTTGCAGGGAATAATACTCGATTTTGCACTGCCTGCTGACCAAGCACGATCTCCATAAAACATCTGCATAGTGGAAAAGGTTTCTAATTGACCCCAACTGTCAAGCTTAAAAACTCCGCTTGTACAATTACCCTGTAGAAAACATTTTGTTTGAACCTTTCTTGAATAGGTTCCCTAATTTCACCAAAGTACATGTCACATGGCCACTGCATTGCAATACACTGCAGAGCAACTGAACTACTCCAGGATATCCTATGTTGTCACGAATATACTCACGGACGGTCTACGAACAATCTTCAAACAGGAATGGGACAAACGCTACAAAACAACGCTAGGAGAATGGAAAGATGAACCGAAAAATGGACTGGACTTCTGGAAGGGTGAATCCCATCGAAACAGAAAGAAAAATGCCCATCTGTTGACAACCATGAAGAATGGCAATAGAGCTGAATGGGATTGTTCCATGCTCTTTTATGCCATTCTGTATTCAGATTGCCTGAATAGTCTCAATCCAACAGTGCAATCAAATGTGGATGACCTCAGGAAATTTTGAAATGAAGAATTTGCACATGTACCACATGGCCATCTTTCTAACATTAAATTTAAGAATGATATTCTCAAAGTCTACAATGCATTTCACAATCTTGGTCTTGCCACTGCAAAAATCAAAGAAATCCAAAATCAGACAAGCTTTCCAACAGAGGAGTTAGGAGAGGTTCTGAGGAAGGTAGATGACCTTAAACAAGAAGTTTATGAGAAAGAAAACAAACTCCAAGAAAAAGAGATGAAACTCCGAGAAAAGGAAATGGAACTTCAAGAAAAGGAAGGACAACGACAGGTTTTGGAGGAACAGTTACAAACTGAAGTCTCTCCATTTTGCATTCTTCCTTCTGCACCTTCCCACGATGTTGCACCCTGTACTCGTCAGGTTGCTGAAATAACACAGCAGCTCAAAGCACTCAAAGGGGCTAATGAAAACTGTTTAAGCATCCTGTATCTATCAGGAAATCCAGGAAGTGGGAAATCTCAGTTGTCCCGTTTGGTAGCCAAGCAATTCTATGATGAAGTTGAAGACTCGACTCTCAGTACTTCATTCGTTATGGCACTAAACGCGGAAAACACGGGAGCTCTTATGGAGTCGTATGTCTCTTTTGCACGGTATTGTAAATGTCCTGAGTATGCTGTTACAAACACCCTCAAATCCAGAGAGATGGACACAAATGAGAAAATTACTAATCTCAAGGCCTTAATAAGCACCAAAATTGAGCTTTTTGCATCCTGGCTGCTGGTGGTTGATAATGTTGCTGATGCATTTGGCATACATAGTCATTTACCAGATGCAGGGAACAAGCAATGGGCAAGAGGCCAGATGCTCATTACAACACAAGATACTATGTCCATCCCATTAACAAGCTCTTGCATACAACATGTCTCAATCAGCAAAGGTATGGATCTTGAAGATGCCAGATTTTTGTTGAAACAGCTTTCTGGTGTCACAGATAGTGAGATGGAAAAAGAAGTTGCACAGGTATTAGACTACCAACCTCTTGCCATGGCAAGTGCTGCCACATATGTCAGAGAAGTTGGACAAAACAAGGCAGCTTTTGGTTGGATTGACTACTTGAAGAAATTGGATAAAGGGAAACGGAGAAGTACAGAGAGGATTCTTGCTGAAACCAACTCAAGTTACCCAAAATCCATGACAGCTGCAATAACACTTGCTGTAGAGAAGGCAATGACATGTGACAAAGTTATTCATCACACATTCTCTTTGCTCTCCCTGTGTGCATCGCAACCGATACTTCAAGACATTGTCACCCGCTACATTACAGAAACAGATGAAGAATTTCAGGATAGAGAAATGGTTGTGGCAAAACTCAGCCGATGCCCACTGTTGTTATTTACAGAAGACGAGGGCTGTGTCTACATTCGAGTCCATAGAGTTGTCCATGAAGTCATCAATACTGTAGTAAAATGCCATACCAATGATGAACACCTTAAAGTCATCCATGGGGCCATTGCATCATTTTCACAAGCCATTTACAAAGAAACTGATGCATCCAAGATTGGGCAAGACTTAGATCCGATATTCCTCTGCAAGAACATAGTCCCCCATATAAAAAATTTGATCACTGAAACAGATCCATTGTTTTCTGAGCAAGGAATCTCAGAAGTTACCAAAAGTGGCATAGTTACAGTGCAAGACTTTACTGAAAACTTTCTAACACTCGGAGAGATGTGTATTGAACACTGTGAACTAAAGACAGCACTAAAGTGCTGTAATGTGGTGTTAACCTTTGTCAACTTGGGTGTGGTAGGTTGCAATAAAGCAAAGGCAGCAGCTTACAGTGGCTTAGGTAGGGTGCACTGTGACCTGGGAAAACTAGAGCAGGCAAAGGATTACTTTTTACAAGCATTGGACATCCATCTGAGAAATTTTAGATTAGACCAAGTTCATGTTGCCTCTTCTTACAATAACCTTGGTCTTGTGTGCAATAGGCTTGGTGACCTGCAGCAGGCTAAAGACTTTTACCTGCGTGCAATGGACATTCAAACAAAAATTCTTAGCCCTGATCATGATGACATTGCAACTTCTTATCACAACCTAGGTGTTCTACATCGTGACCTTGGTGACTTGAAGCGGGCAAAATTCTGTATAATGCATTCACTGGTTTTACGTATCAAACAGCTTGGAGTTCAGCATGTTGATGTTGCATCTACGTACAATGAACTGGGTCTTGTGTACAAGCATCCGGGTAAAATAAAGAAGGCAAGATACTACTATGAAACTGCACTCAATATATATATGTGAAAAAGCTTGGGCCTGAGCATGTCGATGTGGCATCCACTTACAATAACTTGGGTAATGCACATGAAGCAGAAGGTAACTTTGAGCTAGCAGCAGACTATTATGCCCATGCAGTGGACATTTGTTTGAAGAAGTTCGGACCTGAGCATGTTTATGTCCAAATGATTCAAACAAATTTAGCTGAGCTGCAGGACAGAATGGAGAGAACCCCATGTTGCCTGGCTTTTCTTTCAAGGAGGATAGGACCTACAGCCTTATCTTCTTAATAAGCATGAGGGTAAGACAAAGATAAACTTTACTTTTGATTGGGATACAAGGCATAGGGTGCGTAAAATATGTACTAGTCTTACAACCTTTGAATTTCCACACCCCTCCCCCTCCCCCCACGTCCCCCACAATGTTTGGAATAGCTTTCTTTGGTAAAATGTACCAGTAGGGGTTTGTCAATTTTTTCAGTTGAACAGCACAAAGATGCCTCTTTTTGTATTGACTTCACTGGAGTTCTGTTTTTGTAGACAAGTGATCCATGTAATCATCAGAGTTCATCTAACTAATAATTTAGTAAGACCTTACTGTGTCACATTTGAAACTACTGAGTTGAAATTGTCTATGAAAAAGGAAACATACAAAAATCAAGGGACTGCAACATGTTACAATGGTACAAAACAAACCTTCATCATTTTATATTTTCACCATCTTTGAAAAGAGTGCTTTCCAATCATGCAAGTCTCTGCAGGACTACAACTTTCACCAGCACACATTTGAGAAAATATGATATACATTTTATCAAAGTAATCAAGCTTCCATCTGACAGGCATGGTCTTGGTTAAGTTATTGACAACAACAAATGAAAAGCAAAACAATCATAAGCTGCAATCACTTTAGAGCACAAAGAGTATTCAACTCTTTCCTGAGGGGTTTATAAACTGTACTCTTTTTTTCAATATTTGCAAGATAAATTCTTTAACACTTCTCTGACTCATTAATATGGATCTCACTGTCCATTCTTGTTACAAACCCAGCCTACACCTCTAAACAGACAAGTGCATCTCCTTAAAAAAATGACTGGCTACTTGTATTTTTTTTTTTTTTTAAGTTAATACAGAAAATAGCTGTTAGATTCTCTTTTAACCCTCAACTCCAAGATCTGACTGTAAATTATCCCCTCTAGCCACTAAACTTTTCCTTCTAAATTAGTTATAAGAATTTGGAGTTAGATTAAGATAACTTGTACCTGATAAGTTTGAGTATTCTCATTACCTGTTTGGAGAATAATGTACTGAGTATTATTTAGGGAGAAAATAAATCTTAATCACATCTTGGAGTTAAAGGGTGACTATTGGTCATGTCAGGATTTTAAACATATCAATGGCTTCAAGCATGCACTATAGGTTATTAATAGAAAAATGGCATTATGTAGTCTCTTTAAGTTCTATAAATTTGATTGCGAATGTCCACTCTCTGCTCTCATTCGTTTTCACTAAGCGCACCAAGGTTTTCTCCTCTTTGCGAGGAATCTGAATGAATATACGATCACTTCAACCACGAGACTTTGAGTGTTGGATTAACCACTGCAGAGTGATATCTATAATTAACAAACAGACATACAATTAGAAGTTTTTGGTGAAAGGAAATCTTTCAAATATTGTAGAAAAGAAAAAGTTCGAAAAATCGAAACTCCATAACCCCACCACCCCACCTGCCTTTACATTAGCATACCTATTCTTATGACTGCTCTTTAGACAGTTTCCATGGACAATTTATTGAGCCCTTTACACCCAATGTCAGTATGCATATTCTCCATTCCATTCTTTTTACATTTCTTCAGGTAACAACAAGGAGAATTTGTTTAACAATCAAAAGCTCCAGCCTTTCATTATTGATCATTTCCTTTATTCTCAATGTTTGATTCAGGGGTGACATTTTAAGGAGAAAGTAGATGCTGGTCAAACTGAGAAGTTAAAAGGTTAAGTGGGTTATTAGACCAGAACTTTAACCATTCCTATCAAAATTGATCTAAGAACCTATCAGACCAAACCCCCTGTCCCTTACCACCTGCCACTCATCAGATACAAATTGGAAACAGAGCACAGCCTTATCCAGAGCACTTTAAAACATAACCAAAGTAAAATGCACACTCTGATTGGTCAATAAGTGTTAACCATTTACCCAATGGTGTACACTGCTGACATGAGCAAATGTGCATCACATAAGATTTGTTAACTAGAAAGGGAACTTTTTGGCAACAATGTATTACTATTATGTTATTAAACAAATGGTAAACACCACAGTGTACACTATTGAGTTATGGATGCATTTAGGAGGTTTGCTGAGTACTCAAGAAGCTAGAGTGGCTCTTGGCTATCGCCTTACGTGACTCTTACGCTTCTTTTGTACTTAGCAACCTCCTGCATGCAGCCATAACTCAATAGTGTACACTTTGGCCTTGCCATTTGTTAATTGTCTCCTTTTCCAAAAATTTCTAGAGTGAAAACAACAGGCGCTGATACTTACCAATATTATCTTTCTCTTTACATGAGATGGAGTAGCAACAGATTTCTCGATCTTGAATGGATGCCAAGTTACTGTCAGAAAGTAAACTTAGAGAGTTAGAAATTAACTCGTTTACAAGACATTTTGAAAGAGGTATGCCACAGTAACTTAAGTTACTTGTTAACCAGTTTTTAATAATCACTTTCTGGCATTCTATACTTACAGTCTCTCCACTACTTCTTTTTCGTCTAATGCATTTGGAAGATCTTTTTTGTTTCCCAAAACTAAGACCTGCCAAAGTATTGACAACATGATATAAATGTAAACAGTACACATTTTTCATTAAATAAATTAGCTACTTTCCCAGCTTGTAGCAGTCATTGTAAAAAAAAAAAAAAATCCCCTTGCCCAGACATGAATACTCAGCAGATTAGTATCTTCTGCACAAACAAATCTTGACGACCAACCTGATAAATAACTACTTGCTGAATGCGGAAGTTAGTCTTATTAAAAACTCGGGTTTGAATGGGATGTTAGTGTATTACAGGTTTATTTCAAACTATTTTATCTGTTTTTCACAGGTCTATACCCATTTGTAATCCTGAATGGCAAAAAGTACTGGAAGAATCAAGTTTACCTTGGCCCAATTTTAAACCTGGACCTTCAAACAGAAAGTTCAACCCCCTAATCCCTAAACTATCCGCGTTTCATTAAAAGATGCAGAACGCTGTACAAAGAACAAAATAAAGCGAACAGAAGAGAGTCTTGTGTGTGACTTACAGGAATGCCTGCTAATTGTGGTTTTTCTAAAAGCCCATGGAGTTCATTTCTTGATGCTTCTAGCTTTTCATGATCTGCAGCATCAACCATGTACCTGAAGAGAAAACCCTACATTTAAAACTGTAGGCAGCACATTAGGTCAAAATATCCAACCGTTTAGATCATGTTGCTATATCTGACACTGTTAGGCTAGGTATAATTAAAGAGCCGTCAATACTCACACAATGCAGTTAACTCCTCTACAGTATCGTTCCCACATGCTTCGAAAGCGAGGTTGTCCTCCAATATCCCAGACCTGTAAGAAAAACAAAAAAGGTAAAATGATCAATAATAATGCGGGTTACACAAGACCTAGTTGCCAAGTCGGATATGCACTTCAGAAAATAGGGGTGTTGAACAAGGACTGGTCCGTAGCCAGAGATTGGGTTGAAAGAGAAAATTGAACAGTGTGAAGCACACAATTAGCAACTGAGATTCAAGACTTCATTACTATGGACTACAAAGGGGGTGTTTAAATAGAAGAAAACAAACACCAATCAGAATTTCATAAGACATGTAATATATGCAAGGAACTTGTCATTTCACTCACACACCACAGCTAATGATACAATAATAATAATACAACAATTTTTATAGCACCACTTCCGTGAGCTCAATGGCGCTTTACAATAATCATAATTCTAAAGATAAAAAACATTTAAATTATTAAAGTATATAACAGTTGTAGAAGTTAATTTCTAACATAAGATACAATCAATTTAACAAGATCAACTAAGGAAAATATATACAATAAAAAGAAAAAAAAATAGGTAGTCTACTAACTGGTAAAAGCCTCTTTAAAAAGTAGTGTTTTTATTTAGTTAAAATCAGGCAATCAATACAGCAAAAATCAAACAACACACAAGTTTGACTACTAGAATAGAATACTTCATCTAACAACTGACCTTTATTGTAACATTACCCTTGGTGACTTTTCTCATATTAAATCCAACAGTTGGAATCATGTCTTCACTGAACTGACCTGACTGTTTGGAGAAAAAAAAAAAAAAATTAGCAAGTAAACAGAATAGGACGGATGGTAAATTCTAAACTTGGTCATAAATGAAACCTCAGAGTCCCCAACATGGAAGCAAAACCCAGACCTTCAGATTTCAAGCATACATTTCTACCTCTACCACCAACTTACAGGGTACTTGATGGCAAGCTTTGCCATCTGCCAGGTAAATATTTAACATGTGACATGAACATTGTCTGAGGTCATGGGAACAACACAAGACCAAAATCAAATTAAGTCTTTGGCCAATACAAAGTACTACTTCAGTAGAGGAGTCTCATTATCTTCCACTTTAAGGGAGTGATTAAAACTCAAACTCTCCTAGCAATTTTAAAACAATGTCAGGCTGGCAGGAAAGGGGAATTAAGAAAATCATCAGTTTGTACAACAATTACTACTACAGCTAATCTCAGTTTTGTTCTTGTGAGCCAGATGAGAGTTCCTTGTCTCTTGGAATCAGGTACTCCATGAATGCTGGCGACTGATGATTTATTGCTGCTAAATTTACATTCTGTAGTCTTTACTCCTCATGTATTCTGCATCTGTTATGTGTACAGCTGCTTATCCCAGATTCATTAGACATTTACTCTGAGTTGTAATCAGAGGCCTGCGAAGAACAATGCCTACTGTATTAATTCAAAATAAGCTCCCTGGCCACTCATCAATTCTTTCGACCTAGAGAATGGCTGCTCATTCAAGATGTGTGCTTATTTGAGGCCAAGTATTCGATTTCTATCAACATTACATTGTGATTCAGTTTTTTTAGTTTCTCAGAAAAAGACAAGTTTAAAACTTATTTTAAGATAAACTTTGGTCAGGGTAAGTAACAAGCCTAGTTTTCACAAAATGAACTTTAAAGAACTGGAATTTTGTTACAAGAAGGAGTTTATGTAGGTCATAAAAATAGAATCCAAAAGGTGTACAAGGTACACTTTTTTGTCATGGTTCACTACCACAGGCCTGAACTTATCCTAAATATTCACGACTGTAAATCTTAGCCAACATTAACAACCGAGAAGGGAATTTTCATGTATTCCAGGGTGAAAAAAATTGTTTTCTAAATCTAATTAAGCCTAATTTTACCCTCTTGCAAATTGACTTAGTATTGTGCCAGCGACGAACTATAATGTAAACGTAATTATATGTACATATCCAAATAGGGGCGCGAAATGAGAAGGAGTTTGAGAGAATGTTTACATACAGTGAGAAAAAACCAAATTAAAGAATGAAAGGATAACTCCAGGAATAAAAACACGAATAAAACTTAAGTTCTTTTCAATAGCTAGCATTTACTAACTGTACATTTCGCTTACCGCGATAACATTGACAAAAGTTGTCTTTCCCGAGTATTGCAAGCCAACCAGCGTAAGCTCCATCTCTTCCTTCCAGAACAGACTTTTTATCCAGTCAAGTATACTACGAAAAAAGGCGAACATCTTCGTAGATCTTGAGCTTTCAACAAAACAATTTCGCAAAAACTAGCTCTCTTTTGGTTTTTACTAATCTGATCACATGACTCAAAATGGCTGCGTCTATACCAGAAGACATTGCGTTCTCAGTGGACCGCCAGGATCTGGTGCCTTTTTGTAGTCATTCAAAACAATTCAAAAATTCAACATGGAGACATGGCGGATTTTATTACGGCGTTCAAATTGAAGACGAAATGGGCTCGATCGAGCAGCTTAAAAGTGAAGTTGAACGCCTAAGTAGTGAACTACAGCAAGCCTGTCTAGAAAAGGTCCAAGCTGCTGAATATGGGCTGGCAGTTTTGGACGAAAAACAAAGATTACAGGAACAATATGATGAGCTTGAGACGGTCTTAGAATCAAACAAGCAGGAATTGGAATGCCTTAGAGAGGTATTTTAAAGGAAATGTTTTTGGTTAACCATTCCATTTGAAAGAAACGTATTCCTACCATTTGATCTAATCAGATCAAAGGTTAGAATCGCGAATACAGTGCATAACAAAAGTTGGATATTTTATATCTTTAATTATTTACACGCGCCAAACGAGTGAAAACATCGATGTGGGGTGGTTAGTCAAAGCTTCCTTCCTTAGCGGTAATTGTAATTTTAACAAATGGGTGCGATTAACCGATCATCACGCTTACTGATTATACCTATCGTCTAAATATATATATAAAAAAAACGATCTCTTCAAATCTTATAGGTCATTTTGAAAATTATGATTTCTTGTGACGTGTAAGACTGCGCATTTTTTGCAGTCTAAATTTCTGAGATTAAAAGATTACGTAGATCGTATTGCCTGGCATTACCCTGAGAGATCACTCGATGCCTATATTGTTAGAATTCCTTTTTAAGATTGTAGCCGTGGGAGAACTCAAACGGCGCGCTGAGTTTGAAAATCATCGATCTATTTAATCGGAAATCGTTCAGGGGTTAAAATTAGTGTGATAGATTAATGATAATTTTCACGGTCAGTCAGACTTTGACTACTGGAGATTTAATCAGACCGCTGTTGATGTTGTAAATAGCTTCCATGTATAGCTACATGCAATGAACCTATATCAGCCTCCTGATATTTTAATTTACAACACAGTGAATTAACTACTGTTTTCTTTGATATTATTCCCTTCATTTTCTTTTGTTTTGAAATTGTTGAAAATTTTTTGAAAATTGTTGCTGAATAAGAAAAAAAGTAGAAGAGAAATAAACATAGCAGTGATCAATGTCCCAAACCAAAGTTAGATTGTCTATTTACAAATAATGATTAGAAGGTGTCTGACTTTCAAAAATGAGAGGCAGAGTTGTGTTCAGGTCATCAGTATTATCACTGAAATATTCATTCCACATAGAGTCTAACTTAAAAATGCATTCAGAGTGCTTCTTATTCAGCAAACTCAGAACTAAGCTGGACTAAAATTGCAGAAAATCTGTTGTTTTTTAGACCTTTGACCCTTAAGCAAGGCTGTGGTCTAGCAGTGCCCAGTGACCCTTGGTGCCTTACATTATTTTGCTCTTGGGTGACTTAGGAATTTTAGTTTTGTCATAAAAATCATATGCTGGGCACCCCGGATGTCGCAGTTTCAGGGTACTGCGCTCAATTCAATTTTTCTTTCAGCACAGCCTTGCTTAGAGTGACTAACATCTAATTTCTCCTTACAATATCACCCCTGAATCACACATTAAGGTCAAGAGAATAAAGGAAATGATCACCAACCAAAGAAGCACTTGATTGTTAAACAAATTCTCCTTGTCAGCACCTTAGGAAATGTATATTAGAGAACAGTATGGAGAATATGTATGCTGATGTTAGGGTGTAAAGGGTTAATATTTTGGCTTTCCTTTATCTTTACTCAAAGGTCCATGAACAGTTGAAACTTGAACAAGAGAAACGAAGTCGCTTTGGGGATGATAGGGAGGAGAGTCTAGTAAAAGAGAGTGAATCAAGAGAGGCTAATTACCTCCATAAAATAACAGATTTAGAGAGTGAAGTTCGCCAAGCGAGAAAAGCCGAAAGGGATGCACTCATTGAAAATGAAAGACTCTGTAATCAGGCCTCCAATTATGTCAAAGAAATTGAGCAATTTGCCCATAGTAAGAAACTTCTCAGGGATGAAATCAGAGAACTCAAGTACCGAGAATCTAAATATTGTCAAGAATTTAGCGATCTTGAGGAGGAGAACATCAATCTCCAGAAACAATACTCAACTCTCAGATCATCGATGGTGGAGTTTGAATCCTTGAAGGTTGAAAACAAGAGTTTGACGGATGAAATGGAGTCGTTACAACTCCAACTTCAGGTAGCCTGTGAGAAACGGGATCAGTATGAGAAACAGCTTAATGAGTCACTGGAATCTTTAAAGGAGCAACGTGACAGAAACTCCTTGCTGCAGAAAGAATTGCAAGAAATTCGCCAGCGGCAGTCACCCACAGTTAGTAGTTGGCATGAGGAAAGCCGGTTTATTGGCATTGAAAGTCCTGAGAAGACTGACAAACCTGAACAAGTTGTGGAACATCCTTTAATAAAAAGCATCATCGAAGAGTACAAACCTGTCCCTGGGTTGGTGGAAGATCTCATGAGGGAACTCCAGATGTCAGAAGTCAAAGAAATGAGCCACAAGCTTGAACAGCTGAGCAGTGAGAAAACTGAGCTCACCAATGCCTTGGCTAAAAAAGAGAAGGACGTCTTGAAGTTGAAGGAAGAATTTGACGCCATCCAGACTCTGACTGAAGCAAAGGTTCTGTGTGAAACATTAGATGACAGCGATGATGGAGTTGAAGAGAGAGAAGCTTTTAATTCAAAGATAAACAATCAATTGAAAGAACTTGAAGAGGTGAAAAAACTCTTGAAGAGCTACCAGATGAAAGATAACAAGTCCCAAGCTGTGATCAAAGAATTGAAAAACGAGGTAGATGGCTTGAGAGCAAAAGGGGCTAGCTTGCAAACAAAATCTGATGAGGCAACGTTCCTAACAAAGAGAGTCAAGGAGCTTGAAGAGGAGTTGTTAAATTTAAAGAACAAAGGCATTGAATCTGAAGAATTGATTAAGAACCTTCAAGAAGATGTTAAGTCTATGAGTGATCTTGCTGGAAATGCTCAGGGAAGTCTGAACTGCACCCAAGATGAACTGAAATACGTCAGTGAAGATCTGCAGCGGCTTTATAGTCATGTTTGCTCAGCAAATGGAGATCACCCAGCCAATTCATTCACCAGAAAAGAAAAGCAGGAAAAGGCATCAAATTCAGCATCGCAAATGGAAAGAAATACGGCAGATTCGACAACAAAAGAAAGTTCTGCGGAAGTGCGTCAGTCACCAATGGGAAGTGAGAATCCAAATGAGACCATGGAAAGAGGAGACCCTTATTCCTGTTACAGATTGATCAGTTCTGTGCGTGATCAAGTGAAGTTTTTGAAACAAGCTGTGGAAAAGACAGTGGAAATTTCCAAACAGCATGCACTGGAGTATCGGGTAGTTGTCAGCGATGACGAAGCTAGTAGTGGAGAGGACAGTGATGTTCAAAAGCAGCAAATTGCAAAGCTCCAAAGTCTACTGACAACCAAGCGGGAACAGATCACTACGCTGCGGACAGTTCTGAAGGCTAACAAGTCTACCTATGAGGTGGCACTGGCAAATCTTAAAAGCCGTTACGAGAATGATAAAGCAGTCCAGTCAGAGACAGTAGGCCAGTTGAAGAGAAACCTGAAGGCAATGAAAGCTGAAGTATCAACATTCGCCTCACTTCGCAGCATGTATGCCACTCGGTGTGAGGAATACCTGATTCAAGTTGATGAGCTACAACGAAAGTACGCTGCATCTGAGGAGGAGAAGAAAACTCTTAATCACCTCCTCAAACAAGCCATTCATCAGAAGATTGATTTGACACAGAGACTTGAGGAGTTTGAAATTGCAAGAGAAAGACTGCGTGCTTACACAAGGAAAGGAAGCAAGGCCAACCGGTCAAAACCAGTTACTCGTGTCTAGAGGTTTATTTTCCTCCCAAAGGTTACCTATTTTTAATCAGTAATTTCCTACAAATGATAATAGAGTTATACTCTCAGTAACTATACCTGTAGGTGCAATGGAGATATTATTAGATGCAATGAAATATATGAAGTTCATATATTTTGAACTGCAGTATTAGATACGTATGATGCACGATCCTCGCAGTAGATAGCGCGATTTATGCAATAGCGAAAATCAGACCTGAAAAAAATCAGGCCTGTACGGGAGTCGAACCACTGACCTCTGCGATACTAGTGCAGCGCTCTACCAATTGAGCTAACAAGCCAACTGGGAGCAGGCCGTTAAGTTGATTTGTAATAAACCCGGATCGTGCATCATACGGAGATATTATTACTTATGATTACTTAAGTCCAGTTTGGTAGCCAAGAGCAAACTTTATAGACCTGTTTGCTCTTCAGTGTAAAAGTTATTAACTTTTTAACCCCTGAGAGTATCTAGCATGGAATTTCTCTTCACAACATCATTCCTGAAACAAACATGAAGGTTGTAAGAAAAAAAAGGGAAGATGGCAAACTCAACTCTCTTGATTGTTAGACAAACTCTCGCATAGGAAATCTATAGAAAACAATATGGAGAACATGGATAGAGATGTTAGGTTTTAAAGGGTTAATCAGAGCATCATGCAACCACATTTACAATTTATGAGAAAAATATATCTCATGCAACATTAACACAAGCCTATGTGTGTTTTTTTGTTGCATGTCAGTTATATTTTACCAGAGGTTTAACACAGTTGCTTATGGTCCAAGTTAACTCCTTTGCAGGCGAGCAAATGGAAATAATGTTTTAATGTTGTCCAGTTAGGATCCAGTACTTGACTTCCAAGGTTTTTGGCAATGGATTTTTTATCTTTAAATGTTCATCTTAAACAGATTTTTAAATCTGAGCATTTTAAATTTTATGGTGTGAAAGGAATATTATACAGCATCTTAATATAAGCTTTTTTAAAAAGTTTGATGTGATAATTTTCATTAACATTTGGTAATTTAATTGCAGTGTCAATGATACAGTGTAATATGAGTATTCTCTTAAAAGGAGTGTCTCAGCAACCATGAACTATTTTTAACAGATAAAAAATATATATATGATATATTTGAAAAGTGAAGTTAGTTCCCAGACTAAAGTTTGCTGCTCGTATAGTTTGCTGGTGTCAAAGAAGTAAAAAATCACTTTTACAAAATAAATGTTTATGACAAGTATTTTAACCTGGTTAAATCGTTTTAATAGATTTCATACTGATGAAAGAATTCCAAATGAAGTATTTTTTACAAAAATTAAAATGTATTAACTTTGGCAAAGTAGAAAACTGTCAGAGAACCTTTAAAAATGGGATTACTTGTAATTTACCAGGATTTTAATCAGATGGAGAGGCAAATCTGCTCTAGAGTTGATTCATGTTATAGATACTGGCAGGGATAAAATTCTACCCTGGACCAGTTGAGTCCTGTTCAAACTTTTAGCTCAGGTGGAAATAGGTCTCTCATGAACAGACATATTAAAATCATGATAGCCTTCAGGTATTTTTATAAACCCTGCATTGTACTCTTCTATAGTTAAGGGCACACCTCACTTTGCCAGTTACTTATTATGATCCTGGAATTCTCTCTTTACGAGTTGTTCTATTATTCAATGTTGAATTTTTGTTGATTCTTATATGATGATCTTGATGCTAACTGTAACTTACAGCTTATTTGAAAGGCCTAAACATGTGCCCATTTTCAGGCAGTGTTTTAATTAATATTTATTTTACTAAAAGTCAGCATCCTTATAGAATTAGTGTTGCGCGCAAGGTGTAGCTTTAAGAGGATATTACTAAATGCATACCTGCTCCCGAATTACTTTGTATTTTTGTCATTTGACTTAGCAGAGAAACAGATTTGTAATAGAAAAATAAGATCTGCTAAATAAATACTGGGTAATGTTGATATTTAAGGCATTTCAAGTAAGCACTTTGTTGTGTGGGTCTTTCTTTCTTCAGCAGGTGCACAAGTTATAGACATTTTAATAGCACACAAACATTTCATTTTTAGAAACTTTAATACTTGTACTTCATTATTTCAAGACTATACACTGTAACATGAAGCTTGGAAAGAAAACCAAACCAGTTGACTGCCAGAATTGGTGTAGCCTCTTCTCACAGCACTTAAAAAAATTTAATGCCCCTCCCCCTCCCCTTCAAAAAAAAACCCTTGGTAAATTCTCAGGCTGACACTTTGCTTGATGACAGAAAGTATTCAAGAGTTGATTACGAATACTGAGAAAAGCCTGCGAAGACTATGAGGGTGTCCTAAGGGATGACAGCTGTCCTGTCTAAAATGCCATTAACTCAAAACTTATGCAGTGCAACACCTTAGCTTCCCAGGGGTTCCATAACGTTTTCAGCAGGACGGCAACTGGTTTTCATGGGCGTGCAAAACTTTTTGAATTGAACTTCCTTATAAGGTAATTTAACTTTCTTCCAGATCGTCAGGTTGGCATAACCGTCCTCACAACTGGTCAATTTGCCGGGTGCCAAGGCCCTTAATAAAACCCCTGGCTGCTTCCTCATCCTTCCTCAGTAAGCACACATTTATTTACACAAAAAGGATAAGGATAATATTCAAAATTGTCAAACTATCTCAGAAAAATATTTCATTTGTATTGGTTTTTTCCCAGATTTAGCTACATTCAACAAGTTTCTTAAGAACCTCAGATTTTCAAAGAAGCAAAAATAATTTTTTAAGTCGTTTCTTGAACATACATCAAACATCAAGATTGATATTCATTTCCTTAGGACTCTCTCACTGGGTAAATAAATAACAATACCTATCACATATTCTTCATAAATAATAGTCTAATTAATATTATAAATTGTTATTACAGCTATAAAAAATAGCATACAAACAAGGTTTGCTCTCTGAAAAAATGTAAATTTTAAAGCGTGTAATATCTGTTTTCAAGCTCAACACCTAAACAACTGTAATTTTTTAAAAAAATTTGCAACAAGTTTTAGTTCATAGATTCATTCATGAGCTTGCAACTTTATGGGACACAAAATTATGGCTGCCTCATTCAAAACTGCAATTCAACCTCCGAAGGTTTAACGTGTTTGATTTAAAGGGAAAATCAGTATACTTCAGGGCTTTTCATGGTCTGTTATTATTTGTCTGTCAGATTGGGAATAGCATCCATCAGTGCATAAGGCTGGTAAAGGCCTTCTACTGAAGACAAACTCTTGATCTTCTAACTCTGAGTGAAGGTGAATGCCTTGCCCATCCTATATGGAGAGAAATGACTAAATTTACATGGCAAAATATTGGACTCTATTAGTCAATTTGATTCCTGGGGGTGACTATAACTACCTTTTTGAGATTTACAGCTGGTATCTTGGGTCTGATGGGGGAGAGCTCTGGAAATATGTGCTGCGGCTGCTTCAAGGAACTTTCCCTGGAGCATGATGCTTGGCTAGATTTCTTGAAGCTGGTATGACCAATGGTCTGTGAGATATGGCCTCTTTTATCTTAAAAAAAAAAACAATAATAACAATAACAACAGTGAACAGGACGTGTCAACTGGACTGAAATCTAGCAGTGGAAGGACATTTATCTAGTAAATTAAAAGAAAACAATCCTCTTATAGAGAAACCCCAAGGCCCACTGATCGTGTAAAACCACAGTTTGGGTTAGACCTCTTGTAAATTAATAACCAGCCCTTATTAGATTATGAGTTTAACACCTCTCAGAATAATGGGTGAAATTACCTTTTTTCTGCTCTTTTTTCTCCCTGTGAGCTACCATGATTACCTCCAAACTGAGGAGATCTTGGCTTGCTTGAGCTGTTGCTTTACTAACCCTCTTAACTGTACTTGAGTTGCTGTTCCTGAAATGCCGCTTCTTTTCAAAAAATTCCTGTTCATATAAAAAGAGTTAAACCAGTTGACTACTAAGAATGACAAGAATCTAATTTCTCCTTACAATATCACCCCTGAACCGCACATCAGGGTCGTGAGAATAAAGAAAATGATAACCAATTAATCCTTTAGCCCCCCAGATCTGATTGTAAATTCTCTCCTCTAACTGCTACACATTTTTTTTTGTAATTTAGTTATAAGAATTTTGTGTTAGATCAAGGTAACAACTTTTAGCTGATAAGTTTGAACATTGTCATTACCTGTTTGCTGAATGACATATGGTATTAAATGGGAGAAGTTACATGTTAATCACTTCTGTGAGTTAAAGGGCTAAATAAACTTTGTAGTGTTGAACAAATTCTCCTTAGGAAATAAATATAAAGTGTAAAGAATATGCACACTGATGTTTTGGTGTGTTAACTAAAAGAGCAAGAAGCAAAAAGAAAATTGCCAAGGAGTTTATAATAAGTAGAACCTTGTCTGTTAAAACAACTTGATGCCCAAAAAATGCATTTTAAAGATTTTTGTATCACATTTCAAACTAAGGTTTTTTTTAGTTTTACCTTTTGCAACTTTGTCTCATGTTTAAGCTTGAGACGGTTCCTAGAAAAATAAGAGTTACTTGTCATAATTTGTGAAAAGTTAACATTCTTGGAGTTGAAGGGGCAAAGCCAAAATAATTCCAAGAAATAAGTTAACTTTAAAAACGGTTTGGGGAATTCCACCCCTGGTGCAATAACATAATTTCTTGTTCCAAGGAGGAGTGCGTGTACAGAGGAACATTGAAATTTACAACAAACTCATAAAACAAAACCCAAGCCTAATAACAAAAGACCCTGGCTTGAGACTTTCTATACTTTACCCTGGGATGGATCCAGAGGTGGTTTGGGTAGTTCAGTCAAACCTGCTAAATTGTCCCTCTAAATGCTGGAAATCATGTTTCCAAAGACCTTACTTTCAGAATCTCCCGGGAGAGCATACCCTTGAACAATTCTGTGAAGCCCCTTGACTAAATCCTGGATCTGCCCCAGTTACTATATATATACTGAGTATTTAGTTCTAATTAACCAAGCCGGAGGTCTGGACRGGCAAATCTTGACTGAGGTCAAGATTCTCCCACATAGACCGACCTAGCTCGGTTAATAAGATATTCATTATATGGCTGTGTCTTATATGCCAATTTTTATATTCTTTGTGCCTTTTTTTTCTAGACCGGTCTAGATGCCGGTCTAGATGGGAAAATCTAGACCACTTTCAATATTGATTTCAGCCAATCAAATCTGTGAATTCGGTAGTTCCCAGTCCTTGTGAGACACAGCCACATAATGAGATCATATAATGCATAGAACAGTACCCAGAAATAATGTTCTCTTGTTATAATGCTATTATGAAGTTCGTAAATGTTCCCATAATTGTACCATCTTTTAACACTGAACTTCAGGGCTTGGTTGTTCAAAAAGCGGAAAATGCTATCCAATGGATAAATTGCTATCCAGTGGATAAGTGTTAACAAAACTTACTGCGCTATCCACTGGAGAGAGAGTTATCCATTGGATAGTGTTATTCAACCTTCGAGCAACCCAGGCCAGTAGTCTAGAACTTTTATTTTGTCAACAGTTACCATGGGAACACATATAACATTAAATGGTAACTAGTGCTAGCCTAGACTTGTTAGCACCCCAATCTCTTCTCAGGCCATACTGAAAAAAACAACACAGATGAACAGCATTTAACAGGTCCAACATAGCTTTCAATTTGATAATGTTAAAACACCAGAAAATATTAAAACCTAAGCCACCAAGGATATTTTTCCCCTGTTTGATTGTTTTTTTTTTTTTAATCACACCACAAGCACCCTCTTTCTCACATGAGTGTGACCATCCAAAAAATTCCACATGGTTCATTTAATTCAAATGCCCTTGAGTTAAGAGGTGCGCATTCCTGAACGTCCTAGTTTCATTTGTGATCACGACAGCTTTCTGCTATCTTTTTACACTCCTCGGAGAAAAGAGGAACTTTTGAGAGCATAATATTTAAATAGTTTCTGATCTTACTTGTACCCTCTGGATGGGTGTGGACATTTTCTTAGACAACATAACTCACTTTTCGTAATCTTATGCTTCACCAACCCATTCAAATTATGTACTAAGCGAACGGTTAAGTTATCAAGATAAACTGTGGAATTAAATAACTGAGGTAAATTTATCAGTTCTCTTGTGTCATTGCCATTCAGACAAAGATTTAATACTCTTTTGACAACGGTCCAAACTTAAGGAGATATCCCAAACTCGTCGGCTTAGCTACTACAAATAAGCTTATTTCATACCGGATTATCAACTACGATAAGCTTCGCTTTACATACCGCTTTCTATGATTTGCAAGTATGATAATGAACAAGACATTTAAAACGTAATTAATTATAACCGCACAGGCCCCTAACAGAACTTAATTAAAGAACAGAAGACTAATACCTCCTCCGACACAAACCGCTAAACAATTAAACAATTCTCTACAAAAAACGTATTGTTTCGACAAAATTAACGTTTCACACATTCCAGACCACAACACGTAAGAGCTCAGCTGGCGTCACGCGCCAGTGACAACGAAAATTTGAATTTTTTACAGGGGTTTTGCGGTTATTCTTTAAATATTTTATCTTAAATGAGTAAATTTTTCGCCACAAATGGTCAATATTGTGGTCATATTTGAATTTTTTTGTTGTTTTGCTTCTAGAAATAAACTCACCGTGCTCCTCCAACCCAGTTCATTATTTTTGTTGAAGAGGTACATTGCAATGGAGGGTAAATGAAGTAGGAACCTCAGCTAAGTTAAAAAAAAATTTTGCAGGTAATAAATCATTTCATGCCATGCGGGGTTGAAAAAAAAAAACTCTTTCCGGGGTTAAAACCGTCGTTTCTCTAACTTCCTTTATATGAGCACGGAAAATATGCAACCCACAGTTTCCAGAATGGGAAATATTTACATGAAAATTTGCAAACTGGAAGATCTGAGCATGCGCAATTAGCCTGTGTTACGTTTTTAGCGTCGGTGACTCACTGTTTATATATTCTCGTGAATTCAGAGCTGGCCGATAGTTTGAAATGTTTTATCCAACAAATCCACGATCATAATCGTCTAGAAATGTCGAGTCTTCCTAATTTGCGCAATTCTTTACCTCGTAAAGGAAAGCACTGGTCTTATAATGTCCATGAATGCATTCTTCTCAGGGGACCTAAGACTGGAAATTTCAACCTTCATATTGTAGGAGGTGCAGAGAATGGCGAATTTATCTGTATCGGGGACGTTAAACAAGATAGATTACGGTACAGACGAGGAAAAATTCAACCAGGAGACGTTGTTTTGGAAATCAATGGGACTCCTGTGGCTGGTTATACTCAATTCGATGTTTTACCTTTGATCAAAAGTTCGAAGGAGGCAGCAACTCTTCGCATCGTAAAGCCAGGTTAGATTTAAGTGTTTGCGCTAACATTAATCACAATATACCACTTGTATATCTTTCAATGAGCTCACACAACCGATACAGTGCTAATCACGACATTATCGATCTTAACTTAGGGATTTTTGCTGTACGAGATCGCGTGTGTGATGACAATAATTACATCTAATTCGAACAAGCTGTTTATAGAATCCTGCAATCGAGTTTAAATTGGAATGTTAAATGAAATACCTCCGTAATGGCATCAGAAACGCATGCCAGCGGAATCTCGTGAATTTGTGTTTATCTGATCCTCACGAACACAACAAAAAATATGCAATCGAAACCTTGTAATGAAAGACGCTGTTATTTTTATTGCGACGGGACCTGTGATCGGATTTTCCACTAGTTGGAAACTAATACTTGTAGCTGTCAATGTTTCGTAAGGGAAGCTTTATTATTGATGACGATATTATAGTTGGATGTGTCACTAATATTATGTGGGTCATTGAACGTAATATTCAATTTAAAGATTAAACACACATGTGGAATTCCTGTGGAGAATCGTGGCTTTTTCTCAGTGATGTTCCCGTGAAATTAGCCTCTAGCCCTGCCACACACATCAAACTTAAAATTGATACTTTTGATGCAGAAACGTTATGTTTTTTTCGGTTTTTTTTTTTCAATAATTGATTTATCGCGATATTATGATATTGCAAACCTCTAGACTCATTGAAAGATTCTTAAGGACAACATTCCCAAGCCTACCCATAACTTTTATCAATAATAATAATGAGCTCATTCAGTCCTTATACAAATACTTCCATGTTTGAAAAATTAAATTTCCAAAAGAGACTCTCGTTGTGTTAGATACCTACCAGTTTTATGACTCTATCACAACACTTAATCCACTCAACAATTGATACAATTTGAAGTTCTTAATTTACCATAAAAAGGAAAATTAATTTTGGTTTGATAGCAACTTACAAAATATAGATTGAGTATTGTGTACTGCCTGTACTTGAAACCATTTGTTAAAATAGTTTGACATTAAGTTTGAAGTTACAAAAATATTTTATACTTATTAAAGTCAACTCAGCAAGCAATGTTTGTAGTGCTGAGGAGGGTGAAGATAAACAGATCTTGATAATCCTGGACAATTTATATTTGTATAATTATTTCTTAACTATATTTACACAAAATATGCTCAGTTATCCAGCTCTAAATAAGAGGAACTGTCAAGCTTCTAACCCCCAAGATTTGATTTTCTTACTGCTGTCTATTCCCTTGTAAATTAGTCACAAGAATTTTATGCTATTTTATGCTTTTGATTTACAGCCTTTACACTCTATACAATATACACCTTAACACCATACTTTTCTCTTTGCATTTCCTAAGGTGTTAACTACAGGGCTGGCCGCTAACTTTTCAACTTACAAGCCAAGTAGCCAGTAACAACTTAAATGTTACAACAATTTCAGTTTGTTTACAAACCAAACTGGCAAGTGTAAATCAAAAACCACAAGCCAAAACTGAATTTCTACTAGTCTGTGTCAAGTTGGCTACAGTCAATGTCAAGCCCTGAGCAAGGAGAATTTGTCTAACAGACAAGAGCTTCTTGAGTTTATGATCATTTTCTTTCTTCTCTTGACCATAATGTTTGATTTAAGGGGTGGTAAAGTTGGGAGAAACTAGGTGCTCATCATTATCAGGGATTGATGGTTTGACATTTCAACTCCCAAGATCTGATTATTGATACTCCCCTCTAGTTGCAACAAGTTTCTGAGTATTCTCATGACTTGTTAACTGGGTAATGTATGGATATTATAGGGAGAAGTTACATGTTAATCATTTCTGGGATTTAAAGGTTAATAGCCTTCATGGGCTGTTGGGAGAATACAAGTAAAGAATTTTCTAAATCATAAGCCAAAGGGGAGTGTTTTTTTTTTTTTTTCATTTTCTATGTAGAGTTTAAGTTTACATTTCATTATTCATTTCTTTTCTTATAGGAGAACAAATTTCAAGAGACTTGCAGAAATATCTTTCAACCAGATTTGACAAAGCTTCAGTTGATAATGACTTGCAGCAAACCATCAGAGAGAATCTGTACAATAGGACAGTACCATGTAAGTTTGCCCATAATTATCAGGCATTCACAAGATTATCACCTCTTAAACCTCTTGATTTTTTTTTTTTTTTTTCGCAACTCTAGAAGTATTTTTTAACACTGTGCAGGGAAGAATGCTCATTACTTGTATAAACAGCTGGCTGTCAAAATGTTAACAGTATAGAATTTTTTCTGGCCTGTTCCTACTCAGCATTTTACTTTTGTCTAATGATTATTCAATTAAAGCTCTTGTAGGGCTGTACCAATCACATAATGATATTTCTTATGGAATTTGACCCTGTTGTCTTCTACCCGATAAAAGGTACAACACGTTCCCCAAGGAATGGTGAAATACCTGGAGTTGATTATGTCTTCCTCTCCTTGGATGAGTTTGAAAGGTTAGAGCAAAGTGGCAGCCTTCTAGAGAGTGGCATTTATGAAGGGAACCATTATGGCACACCCAAACCACCAAGGGAACCTCTGCCAGCAGATAACATGATCTTTGTACCAGCCAAGGAGAAGACGATGGAAAAGAGAGGAAGACCAAGAGCAGCAGATAATCTGGGACCACTGCCGCCTAATTGGCAGGTTGCATACACTGAGGATAATGTCAAGTATTTTATAGAGTGAGTATTGCTAAAGTGCTCAGCCAAGACTTGGCCTGAAGGGCATCAGGGACCAAAGACATCAAAACCATTTGAATTGGGAAATGATCTGCAGACACAGCTATGTTGAGTTGGTAGTAGGAGCTGGTTGCGGCTGTCTACCATCACTTTATTGCTGCCTTTTAGCCTAGGAACAGGCTCACTTGTTTGGGTTTCCAAACATATTGCAGCAGCATTCTGACTGCTCAAGAATGACAGACACATTACAGAAATATAAATGAAAAATTATTATAAAAAAAAAAAACAGCAGTCTTTCTTTGGCCCCAGAAAGCTGAAAATTACACATTGGAGCGAAGCATGCCTCTCAGAGCCTCCAAGGCAAAGGGTACTTACAGCCCCTTTTCCAGGCACAGGTTTAAAAAAGTTATTGAAACCCATGAGATAGTGCACAGAAAAAAGATCTTGTTTTTCACTTTTTCAGTCATAGGACAGGGACCACTCAGTGGGTTGACCCAAGAATGGCACAGGTGAAGAAGGCCACTGTTGATGAGTGTGATGAGGATGGTATGTTGTCATTTTTTTTTTATTATTATAATTTGTTTTTTTTTCAGGTATATCTTGTTCCTGAGATTACCGTTGTTTTTCCCTTCGGCTTCCAAGGAACATTAGGAAGAAAACTTCAAAAATGATACTAATTTTAATTCAAATTAACTTTACACTGTTGACTGCAAACAGCTTTGCATGTAAATGGTTTGTTCTTCTTTTCAGAGCTACCTTACGGTTGGGAAAGAGTAGATGATCCCAAATATGGAACATACTTTATAGAGTAAGTGTGCAATTCCTGCTGTAAAATACTAAAGTAGCCCTTTCACCCCCAGGGTGGATTTCACAGAATTCACGCTCACTCTTTGTTGGAGGAAGACCAGGGCTCGAAACTAACCTTTCAACTTACTAGCCAAGTGGCTAGTGACAACTTAGATGTTACTACAATTTCAGTTTGTTTACTAGCCAAACTGGCCAGTGGAAATAAAAAACCACCAGCCAAAACTGAATTTCTACTAGTCTGTGGCTAGTTGGTTGCCATTAGTGTCGAGCCGTGAAGACTCTTTTGTAATTGAGGAATATTGCATTTCAAAATTGGCTAGGAAACTAAGATGTTTTTGCCAAACCAAAGATAAGACATTTACAGTAATCATTTGTATCTTTTTTTTCAGTCATGTAAACAGAAAGACTCAGTTTGAAAATCCAGTTCATGCTCGCAGACGACAGAGTCAGTCCAGTAGTGTGTCGTACACCCCTGCACCTCCCCCGCACGAGGGTCCACCTTCCTTCCAGTCTGCGGCAGCTTTGGCCAAAGCGCAAGAAGCTGAGGCACAGTCGAGGTTTGTAAACACTTAACACTCTAACATTAGTTCGAATCTGTTTTTGTTTTTTTTTTAATCTCTGCTACCCTTGGTTACCAGTCACTTTGCCATCATGTGAACTTGCAGACAATCAACTCGCTGACAACCTGCCACACAACTTGTTACCAAAGACCAAAGATAATGGTCAGCATGTTGATCCAAGGTGTCAGAAAGTTGACCAATGGTGTCAGCGAGTTGGTTTTTGGCAAGTTGACATGTCGACGAAGTGACCAGGTGCCAACATTGTTAATGACCATACTAGCTTTTCTCATGGATCTTTCTTAATTAATTTCTTTGAATTCCCATCAGATGGCCGGAGGTTGAGTTTTCTCAGCCCCCTCCACCAGCATACACTGTGGATGGCTCCAACCATCAGCCAGTGGACGCCAGACAGCTTCAGGGTCAGGTCATAGTGACAGAATTGATCAAAGGACTACGCGGCTTTGGCTTCACCATCGTGGGCGGGGACCAGGTTGGGGAACTCCTACAGGTCAAGAGCATTGTCCCGGACGGTGCTGCGGCTAAGGATGGATTGCTACGTACGGGCGATGCTCTGAGAAGTGTCAACGGTATGTCTGTGTTGACCAGAAGTCATCAAGATGTTGTGAGCATGTTTCAAGCCATGCCCATTGGGGAGAGTGTGGAGTTGGAGGTTGTACGTGGCTATCCCTTGCCCTTTGACCCGGATGACCCTAATGTGGAGACAATAGGTTCATATACAGTGGTACACGGGACCTCCAATGGGTCAGAGTCACCTTTGCCGCGGTCATCTGAGGAGAATAGTCCGACATATCCCCCGCATCCGCATGGCCAGGCGTTCAACAAATGGAGTACTTCACAAGGTAAGAATGAATTCATGATGACACTTAAACTAGAATTTGTTATGGTAATTGGATTGAAATCATACAAGTGATAAACAAAATTGGACGATCCCGAAGCGGGAGTCTGATTTTAATAATCACGAACTGGTATGAATACGGACAGAATTGGGTGACACTATGTCCTGTTACCATGACAAAATGACAAAACTTGAAAAACAAACCAGCCATCCGTTATACGTTTTCATAAGAAACGACACTTAACAGCACAAACGCAGCAAATTGACCTTGAATGAAACTGGAGAAGTAAATCGTTTTGACCGGCGTAAAAATTCGCTTTCAAATCGCGGGAAATTTTCATTGACGATCAAATTCGATCGGCGTACAAATGACTTTTTTACGAAACGTGCGTTTTTTTTTTTTTCATAACAATTAGAGTCTCCCTTTGCCCCAGGGGGATACCATGGGTCGAGCTACCCCCGGACATCCACGAGCAACACCCTTCCACGAGGCACCCCAGAGCTCATCACTGTCCCAGTGGTAAAGGGCCCCATGGGGTTTGGTTTCACCATCGCAGACAGCCCCTATGGCCAGAAGGTGAAGCAAATTTTGGATGCGCCCAGATGTGTTGGGCTTCAAGAAGGCGACATCTTGGTGGAGATTAACGGGCGATTGATCCGTAATTGTACTCATAATCAAGCGGTTAATATTCTGAAGGAGTGTCCTAAAGGACAAGAGGCATTTATCGTAGTTCAAAGAGGAGGTACGTTGTTAAAGAATCTTTTACTAAGTCCGTGTCTGATCGAAGGCTAGATCTTTTGATCCAGTAAATGTAGCAAATGTCAAGTAATCCATCATTGAATATTTTGCGTTATGGTTCCGTGTGATATTGTCTGAAACACTGATAGTTCACGACTATCCACCGAAATAATGGTGGCTTGTGAAGTGCGAAGCGGCAAGGTAAATATCTACCGCTGTTCACCAACACGAAGGAGAATAGTTGTTTTAGTATATACTAAAACCGTAAGATAATACAGTACAAAAAGGCGATTTTAACTCATTTATTCCTTGAAAATGTTGAAGGGCCGCAGCCAGGATGAAACATAGTTGAAATTTAAAAAAATTTTAAAAATTTTTGCTAGAGATCGTTTTTCAAATTTCAACTCATTTATTCCTGCAACGGTGACAAATTTTTTTGGGTGCAAATCCAGCGTGCAAATGCTCGGAGGTGAATAGCAATGGATATTCGGAGTTTGAGTGGCCGATTAGACCGCCCCTTCATCGCTTCTCATACTAATCAGTGTTCGTTAGTTTTTTTCGCCTTTATTTTACTCGAGGATAGTTATGTAGAACGAATAATCATTGATGTGTCGAAAGTTAAATCCAGTTAAAAGTAGTGTATAACTTATGTATTCTATTTATTGTCGTGTGTTTCTGTTTCGGTATTTTGATCTCATACTGTCATTTCTGCTTTACTGATTTAATATTTAATTTCTGTTTCTTGTATATTTATTGAATCTTTTGCACACTGCCCGCCGAGACTAGCTCTGCTATTTGTGGGTAGTGTTTCATTATGTTAAGTGCCATGTCATGTCTGATTACAATAAAGTTGAAGTTGAGTAGAAAGTTGTCTTGAAGCACTTTTGCTGCTTCTCACTGGCTGCAAGGCCAGATATTTTGGAACCCCAAAGTAATTTCGTAACTTTCGTCAAATCATGAAATATTTTATCTTTTATATATTTTATGATTCGTAATTTCGTTAAATCATCAAATAGTTTATTTCATTTTATATTTTTTGATTGGTAACCTCGTCAAATCATGAAATATTTAATTTATTTTATATTTTTTGATTCACAGGGATTCCAACACCACTTCGAAACAGCCCTTCATTTGGGAGAAGAGAGAAGGTAACTAATATGTTGTGTGTAATAACTCTTCAAAATCTTCTAACAGTTTTTATTACATCCATTTTGAAATCCCTGGTGGTCCCTGTAATCTGATTGGCTCTAATTGGTGCGATTTATTCACGAATCGCACCATTTTTTGCTCTAAATCGCAGCATCATTTTACGCTTGATTGAGTTCTTGACACATGACGCCAAAGTCTTTCTGTTTTGCATACAAAATAAGATGTAGTAAATGGTTTGAACCCGGGGGTAACATGTGATGGTGTAGTCTGATCGTCCGGGTGAGTGTAGTCCTGAGAAGGACTGTTGTCGGTGGTAGTGACTGACGTTTCGACAACCTGTGCGGAAGTCATCATCAGAGTCAAGTGAATGATTGTTGTCAGTAGAATGTTCTTATTCCAGTTCGTGTGAAATGATCGGTTGGTTTTGCCGTGATGTTATTGGCTGTAAGACTCAAGTGACGTAAGTCGGTCGTGATTGGTCTGTTTCGATCTGTCGGTAAAGTTAGGTCGTTCTTTTTCGGTCGTTTGTGATGTTTATGTCGTGAATGAGTCGTTTGTATGGAGCGGGTAGTTGTTGACATCTGTTTAGGGGAGTCTGTTCTAAGTTAGTAAACCAGCTTTCCAGAGTCAGTCGTTGAAAATAGTCAGTGCTGTAGGTTAGGCATTGCGCAGAGTCCCAGTCAATGTTGTGGTTGGTAAGTCGATGGTGTTCAGCAATGTGATTGCTGACATCACCTTTCCTCGTCGCCCGTCTGNAGCACTCCACTCAGTTTAATTACCATTATTAATACACTGTCAAAAAGACTGATTAGGAGAATTAAGAAAATGAGCAGCAAGGAGAAAAGTGTTCGGATAGAGTCACAAATTTTTGGTATAGGCCAGCAAGGAAAGTGTTTGGTCGTCATTTGAAGAACTGACTTTTAGATCGTGGTTGTGGAAAAGTAACACTGGGGTTTCTGCACAGCGATAGTTTTATGCATGTATCAATGATGAATTTCCTACTTTCTTTTTAAGGAGCAGGAAGTTATCGCAACAAGAGTTGCTCGTCCAAAATCCACCCCTGTAATGGGCGCCAATCATGTCGGCCAGTCTCTAATGGAACATGGAAGCGCTGGTAACCTAGCAACTGCCGGGGAGAGCACCAGGAATCAGGAGACTGGGTACGATAACAGAATGTCTGGACAGCCCTCTTTGGACAAACGTTCTGAGGCACTGTTCAATTCATATCCATCGCTAAAGAAGGCTGTCGCTAATGCTGCCAGGAGGTAAACTCATGGATCTTGTATCGCTTCGTTTAAAGAAATTTTCAATTGAGTATTGAACGTGATCCAGCTTTCATTGGTTTTTTTCTATAACTCTCTATTTGATTGGTCAAGAAAACTCGTACCATAATCCGAACTAATCAGATGCAAAAACTGACGCCAATCACGATTTGGTCACCCGCGTTTTCCCGCGCTTTAAGTAGTTTCCAGTTTTTTTTTTTTTACATTAAGCTCTCATTGGTTATTAGTGATGTCAGCGGTTATTCTGATTGATAGTAGTGATAATTTTGGTTTTTCATTTTTCGCCACTAAAACTGCTCTGTTTGAAGAAGATTGGAGATTATAATGAAGAAATTATAGAAATGTGTTAGAATAAGACGTATCGCTACATCATGCTTGTAGTGGAATGACAATTCTCGAAACGGAGATCAAATTGTGCAAAATCACAAAAGAAGAATTACCGATAATCTTGCCTTAACTGATTTTTAGGTCAATGGAAAACTTGGCCGCTCCAGAAGTACTGCCTCCCCCGGCAAGTCCTGACTCATACAGTTTCTCAGTGCACCTTCAAAGGGGGGAGATGGGGTTTGGTTTTCGTATCATTGGGGGTCAGGAGGAAGGCACACAGGTAGGGAAAAGAAACAATAATTTTAAGGAACTTTTTGGTTCTTTTTTCCCGTTCGTTTGGTCATGAGCTTAATTTGCTCACGATGTTATTATTTGCATGTTGAACGAGAGAACCTTTTTCGTTATTTTCAGGTGGCGATAGGTACGATCGTCCGGGGGGGACCTGCCGACCTGGACGGTCGCCTTCAGCGGGGGGATGAGATTCACTTTGTTGACGGTATAAACGTAATTGGTGCTGCGCATCGCCGTGTGATCTCACTTATGGGCAACGCTGCGCTGGCTGGAGAGGTCGCACTTGGTATCCATCGAAACCCGAACAAATCAGGACGTAAGTATCAATCTGATGTTTTGGTACAGAATTTATAGCGTGTGATCCCCTGTAAACGGAGGTCATTTCTGTCTTTCCTCTAGGAGCCATAAAGGAAATCATTTTACCCATATGTTCTTCTTAAAACTCTCTGAAGAAATACTTTGTACCCCTGTTTTCTGAAATTGCCACGCACACGAAAAACAAAAAACAAAAAAAGAGACAAACAAAACAAGCTCCATCACTTCGACGATTTCTTAATCGAAAGAAAAATAGCTTCTTTTGCATCTGGTGGAATACTTGTTCGCACGCAAGCAAATGAATGCTAATAGTCATCCAATGGCTGGCAAAGTTGCTCTACATTTCCCCAACTTCAAAAGTACATTCTGCACCAGCCCGTAAGGTCCTTAGCTGAGGTTTTCTATGATCGTAAAGAAATTCCGAGACTATTAATTAAGACCGTTACCTTCCTCTTAGTTTTTGATCACGTGCAAGTTTGTGATGTCATGAAATGTCTCCATTTTGTTCTTAATGGCGAGGCACGTGCAAACTTTTGATGAATAACTAGTGAACGCTTTACTTTCCTAAGAACTAGTTTACATTCTATCCATGAAAATTTACGTGCCGTATTAATCTCCTCCAACTCAACGTCCATATTTTATCATATGATCATTTTTTTACCCCAGGGACTACTCCCACGGGCACCATGCGGCGTTCCCGTTCAGCATCAACGGAACTCTCCGAAGCCGCTCTCGGAGGGATTAAGGCAAGAGAGGGGTCAAAGTCAACCGGGAATCTTAACCATTACGGGAGGAACCACTACCACGACCCGGATGAGACTTCTTCCTTGCGGAGCTATCATTCTACCCCTGGGGATGGTTTGAGTTCCGGTGGGTTGCCCCCTCAAAGGAACAGACGTGTAAGCGAGAGTGACGCAAATGCTGAGCCCCAGGGCCCCACGTATTACCGTGACGTCATGCTGGAACGAGAAGACAACGAGAGCTTTGGCTTCGTGATATTCTCGTCTGTTAATAAGAGCGGATCAACCATAGGTGAGTGATAAACTCTATGCAGTTGTCTATAACAAAAGTAGTTAATTTCAATTTTCTGATTCTGTTTGGGGAACTTTTTGCCTGGTGGTTAGCGCCCAGGGTCTGCGAATCGAGAAGTGTACGTTCACGCCCGTCAATCAATCAATCAAGTCAGTCGGTCAGTCAATCAATCAATCAACATGTTCAACGTGGTCAGTACGCTTAGCCAAAAAACTTGTTAACAAGCGCGCCTCGAAGAAAACGAAATAGACAAACGCCGTTATCGACTATGGGAAAATACTTTGAAATACACGATGTTCGTCGTAAGAAAATCCCTCTTGATTTTGTAACTGGAATCTAACTCATAATCCTCCTAACACTTCCCGGATGCTCTTCTGCTCAGATGACTTTGTATTGAGCTAGGCCTCTGTCAAGTTCATGTGTTGACAAACGTCCTGTACGAGAGATTTACCAACCCTACCCCTCACAGTTTTGTGACGTCGGGCTAGGGCTACCAAATAAGGTGGTGAGCACGTGCGCGTGGGAAAAAGCAAAAACGCAGTCGAGTAAAAAAGAACAAGGAGGTTGTGAGAGCGCGAGTTTACGGAAAGATTTTCCATCGAATTTAGTGAGAGTTTCGTGAATTAGATTGAAGCGGATTAAACCAGGAAACCGTGTTATTGTGAGTTCTATGGGCTGTTTTAATGTTCGGCTCAGTCCTGCTTTCTGCTAGGATCAGCAGTGTCAAAAGCGTCCGGTGAAAAGATAGAATAAGGAAGACGATGATAAATTTTGAGTTCGGTAGCGAAATGAAGAGAGATGTTTGTCCGTCTTGTCACCAGCGTGGGACAAATAGGGAAAAAAAGTGAATGATTTTGAGGAATCGAACTTTAGAGCTTAGGAAGCCGCACTCCGATCCTCACCGAACTTATAGCAAACCAGACGATAACTATGTTCCTTGGAAAGAAGTGTTTTGTATAATGTTAAAATCAGCAATGTAAGAAACATCGAATGAATGAGAAGGTAGATGAAGGAAGGTGTTAAACTTTGAGCTCATTTGTCAAATGATGAAGATTTGAAACAGTTGTCAGGGGCATGGGACCAAGTCAAAATCAAACTCAGTGTATCGTCAACGTCCCTTTATCCCTCTTGATTTCATTCCCAGACCCCTTCTTACATGCTCCCTCTCCGTTCTCAGGTCGTATTATCCAAGGTAGTCCCGCCGATCGCTGTCGTCAGCTGCACGTGGGTGATCGTCTGGTAGCAGTCAATGACGTCAGTATTATCGGTCAGCATCACAGTGATATTGTGGAAACCATCAAACAATCTGGAAGAACTGTCACTCTACGGATTGCCCAGCAACAGCCATTAGGTATGTTATAGTGTGTGCACTTAACTACGGTGGCCCAGAAGGCTCAACGCAAACAAAAAGTATACTGCAGCAAATAAAAAATATACTGCAGCAAATAAAAAATATACTGCAGCAAATAAAAAATATACTGCAGCAACTAAAAAATATACTGCAGCAAATAAAAAAATCAAAACGCAAAGAAAAAAAGTACCGCAGCAAATAAAAAA